TATGTAAAAAAAAAAGTCTAAATATGATATTTGGCCTCAAATCATCTGAGGCCTGGCGCCCCCCGTGCGATCTTTGGCGCCCCCCCCCCCAAGGGGGAAAATGCACCCAAAATGACCCCAGAAGTGTTTTTTTTTTTTCTAAATCTCTCTAAAAAGTTAAAATGTCACTTGTTTTGCATCAATCTTGATACAAGGTACTTATTATATGCTATCGTTTGGATTCCTGAAGCTTTTAGTTTCCGATCCCATCATTCAAGGGTGGTTTTCATTATAAGTAATGTTCTTTTTTGGACGTACTCTATAATTTAAATGTTTTTACTATGTTCAATCTGAATTTACTTTAAAATAAAAAAATTCTATATTGATTCTGACTCTTCTACATCCAACTCACAGGTTTATCATTGCTTTGAGAAAAAAGATGATTAATTTGACCCTTTTAGAAGTGAAGTTATAGTCATTTGTTCTGGGAATGTCATTTTCAAGTCTGAGGCCTGAAAAACCGGCTTGGGGCTCAACTGGTTAAAGAAACAAACAACAGTGTTTGTAGTTGTTGGTCAATCATCCATCCATCCATATAATCAACATCTTCCTTGTGTTTATGTTTTTATTGTATAGCTTTTACTCTGTGATGTGATCCTCTGACACATTATTCATAGAAATGTGCGCATGCTGTGAAATAACTCATAAATGTAACGCAGCTTATTAACAACTAACGCCATCTTTCTCTCTCCCATACTTCATCCCATTTGTCTCCCTTTCTCCATCCACCATCACTCTTCATTAACTCCTTCTTTCCACCACCTGCATGCCTTTCCTTCTTCATTAACCATAAACCCCTCCACCCCCCTCCCTCTAGTCGCCCAGACACCACCTTCCTGTGGTTCCTGAGCCCGCTGAAAGCCATCCGCTACCTGGTGTGCAACCGCTACAAGTGGCTGATCATCAAGATGGTGCTGGCCCTGCTGCTGCTCATCATGCTGGGCCTCTTCCTCTACAGCATGCCGGGCTACCTGGTCAAGAAGCTGCTGGGGGCCTGAGGGGCTGCTGGGGGGACGGGGGAGGTGCCCGGCTGGATACATGGACGGAGAGATGGGGGAGACGCAGAGGGCGGATGGAGAACCAGATGGAGAGAACAAGGAGTCTCAGAGCGCTTATCACAAGTCATGCTTTCCTGCTCTCTGCTCCGTTGTGATTCAGCTCGCCACCTCCCACTTTCGCTCTGGCAGAAACCACCAAAATGACTCTTTCCCCGCTAATCATGAGAAAAAACTGTCTAATGCTTCATCAAAACTGCAGCAAGCCTAACACCTCTAATATTTGGACTCCATCCTTGAACTGACTAGAAAGCAATCATTTGCCACAAAGTGTAACCCGTGAAATTCTTTTCAAGCAATGACAGCGAATGTTTATTTATCTTTTCATACAACCTTTATTTATTTATTTATTCATTAAATTAAATCTGAGTGATGGGTTAGTGGTCAGACGATTGCATGGACTATCATTTCAAGTGATGCTGTGAGATCTCACTGCTACGATAACTGCTGTTGATTTACGTCAAAAATGAAACTTTTTTGTAACACTTTGCTCTAACCCTACTTCTTGAGGATTTATAAGCACTATATAAATATGTATCTAATTATTTAACGTAGAACACACTATAATATGTAGTTGTAAGCAGAATTGAAGACGTTTGTAAGTGATTATTACAATATTTGTCAACAATTATAAGTGTCTTCTATGAGGATTTATTTTATATTTGTACACCTTTCTCTTTACTATAATATCCTTTGTCTGTTTCTACACCAGCTTTCACTAATGAGTGCCCATATGAGTTATAGTTGTAGACAAACACATAAATGATCACTTATAGATGCTTTTAACTACATTTATTCAATGTTTATTTGAGTCGGATGGATTAGAGCTAAGAGTTACCTTCTTTTTTTTAACTAGCTCTTGCAGTTTTTGCACACTTCAAGAATAATAATGAAGAAACACAAATAGATGTATATTTTCCTAATGAAATCCAATGAGACCTAGAACAATATGACTTCAAAATTAATAAAATAATTAATAAGTGTACAGGGTTTTAGTTCAGATGCAATGTTAAAATGTTAAATCTCTTGAAGCCAATCAGCCACGCCAAGCTTGAACAATTATCAAAAGAGAATACAAATGAATATCTTTTGACTTAATCTGGTCCAAATGCAACAAACACTTCAAGGTCCTTAATGTTTTCTACAAAATGTAGACCTATATGTGGATATGCATGCGTCATTGTGATAAGTGGCCGCAGAGGTTGTGTGTGTTGGCATGACTGTCTCTCTACTGTATCACAACCCCTGCTCTCTTCCACATTACAGGTATATAATGTAGAGATGATTTCACAGGGACATTGTTAAAGTGCACTTGAGTGGAGCGGGGGGGGGCGGTGGTGGGGGGTCCGGTGTTGATTCTCTAAACTCCCGCTCCATATCAAATGGCGTCGTGTGCCGTGTGCGTTGCTCTTCTTTCTAATTTGCCTGTGCCTGACCTGACTTGTGTTGCCGTCTCTGTTTGTAATTCTGTGTTTCACCAATTACAGAGTTACTGTTTGCACTACACTTGCCTGTTTTTACAATCAATTACTGTTTATATATGTGTGGAAGTGTGTGCAATGTTTGTCTCTCGGCAATTTGAAATAAACCGAATTCAATGAACGTGTTTGCAGTTGTTTAAGCAGCTATTTAAATGTTTTTATATGGATAACAAAAGTCAAATTAAGAGAAGAAAACTCATAGAGTATGACATACACATTTATTTTAAATGCTCATAGTATAGTATTTAAAAAAATATCATTAAAGAAAATATAGTACAGTATGCTTTAAAAATACAAAAAATATATAATATATAAAGTCATATAAAAAAGTTTTTATTTTAACTTTTTGGTTAGTTATTCAAGATGAATAAAATACAATTGAATTTGACATCTAAGTAGTATGACAAAGAATGAACTGGAATATGTGTGTGTCTCTTTATAGTCTCTCACAGCGTTGACAAGTAAAAAAAAAATGTATTAAAGCAAATACTTCAGTAAAAGTTTTTTTGTATGCACAAAATGTATACAGTAACAACAGTAATTATGATTTGATACTTCTACCCCTGCATCAATCTTCCCTTCTTCCTCTAAGTGGAATATTCCTCAGCTGTCTTTGCATCGACGTAATGAATGATATGTGTGTATTGATGGAGTGTGTCTGTGCAGTCGTCCCAGCAGCAGCCTGTCCTGGCTGCTGTCCCCCCTGAGGACCCTCTGTCTGCTGGTCTGGAGGCTCTACAGGCTGCCCTGCCTGCTGCTGCTGGCCGCCCTGCTGGGGCTCCTCTTCCTCGCCCTCCTCCTCTTCTCCGTCCCCTCAGAGCTCAGCCACAAGCTCTTCAACAGCGCTGGATAAACGGCTGTAATGTACCATTCTGTTTACTCCTTGTTGTGTCCCACATGAACTTCTGTGTGACTGCCTAATGTTGCAGTTAATTGTTTTTTTTATCTAGCAGAGCATAACAAATAAAAACTGCAAACACAACGTGATTTAATAGAGGCTTTATTTTACAGAGTCCAATTTGAGTTTGGATTACATCTCCAGATCAGTGCTGACCTATCAGAGAATAAAAGAAGACAGATGGAGAATGTAAGAAAAGAAGAACATTCATTTTGGCCCTATCTCGTAATTTTTTTGGGATTATTTACATGTATAGCGTTTATTTCTACACGATAGATTTGCCAAAACCAAAGACATGTCATTCTCTACTCATTTGTGAAAATAAAAGCAGAACATCCACATTTGCATTTTAGTTTCAAAATATAAAACAAATTCATATTAAAACTGTACATTTCCTGTCAAAATAAATTACATGGAAGTACCTCAATAATAACACTAATTGAATGTCTGGGTAATAAAAGTGTCATAGACAAAAACATTACTTTGAGAGTTTGCTGCAGCAACATCCGCAGCTCTCTGTTCTGCTGCTGCAGACTCTCAGTCTCAGGGACGAGCGCCGAGATCTCCGCCAGCACCGCCCTGCAAACACACACAGAAACAACAAGTGTGTGTGTGTGTGTGTGTGTGTGTGTGTGTGTGTGTGTGTGTGTGTGTGTGTGTGTGTGTGTGTGTGTGTGTGTGTGTGTCGTAGTACGTACTACTTACTTACGTTACGTNTGGCCTAGCATTACTATACTTGTGGGGACTTAAATCTGTTTAGACAGTCACGTGTGGGGACTCGCCACCCTTATGGGGACAAATTGGAGGTCCCCATGAGGGGAATCATTCATTTTAGAGTGAAGACTTGGTTAGGTTTAGGATTAGGGTAAGGGTTAGGGTTAGGCATGTGTTGGTTATGGTTAAGGTTAGGATAAGTCTCCAGGAAATGCATGTAAGTCAATGTAATGTCCCCTGAAGTGATGAATACATGGTGTGTGTGTGTGAGAGAGAGAGAGAGAGAGAGAGAGAGAGAGAGAGAGAGAGAGCGAAAGAGAGAGAGAGAGAGAGAGAGAGAGAGA